CCCCTGGTGTTTCCAAGCATATAAAATATGTCAATGCAAAATTTAGATAATAAAATATTGAGTGGTAGTGCTAGAGGACATCTTTCCCTGTTGCTGACACCAGTGAAGGCCTGTGGCCTTTCTTTCCAGCTGTCATGTAACCAAATTGTAACTAATAGACAGACCCTGTGAAGGCAATAAAAATGCTTTCTGGATTCTTTTTTACCCATTGGATTACTACAAAGGAAATGCTGCACAGTCCTTTGGCTGTGCACTTCTTAGGGGTTGGGGGCATGTGCTTTCCCTCTGAAAGGAAACCTACAATCATTTCATGTTTCCACCTTAATTAAACAGATATCATACCTCTCACCTTCTGTCTTTTAAGTTATGTTCATCCTCAGCAGAATGAACCTTGACCATTTGTGTTTTACTGAGATGCTGGAATGCAAAGGTTGATCGTGCTCCTGTTCTGCAGCTTGTGTGTCACACAAGGAAAAGGTTTGAAGCTGTGGAGGGCTGTAACCTGTAATGCTATAGAAGTACAAAGTAGAGTCTTGAATATGCCTTGGACTTGGATGTGGGATGGGACTGTAACCTGTGCTGTGGAATTATGCTGGGAAGTAAATGTTAGGTCTCTGATGCTAAAGTGGCACCAGAGAGCTTCAGGCACAATCCTTAGCAGTGAAAAACAGAGTGTTTAAAAGAGCAAACTGTCTTTAAACAAAGTTGAAGATAAAGCCTCTGGTGACTGTGACCTTGTTACTCAGCATGTTTTCCAGTAGGAATTGATAGTTTCAGGGATGTGTTTCTTTGAGAGCTTAGAATCCCAAGGAAGGAGGCACCCATGGGAACGTTAACAATGTTCTGCATGGAAAATGAGATGTGAAACAGAACTGGCAGAAGAAAGAATGAAGTGGTCTAGCAATTGTCTAAATGGCTCTTTAATTTTAGCCCTTCGATATTACTGCTTGTGAGTATTATTTCATTCAGTGGATCATGGATTTCTTTCAGACTTGCAACACATGAAACCTCAGGGGTAAATGGAGAACCAGGATAGGAAGCTGTGGGAAGTAACAGCAAGCCTGTTTGTTAGTAAATGTTTCTGTGCAAGAGACAGCACCCCCACATGAGAATTTTTTAGATGGTACAAAAACCTAAAAGTGATGAAAAACAGCCCTCTAATATCACTGTGTTGCATATGGTTAAATTGTTCAGAAAGCAAAAAAATATATAAGGAGATATTTTAATGATTACTTTTAGATGTTTCCGTTTGGGAATTTAATATGTAAGGTTGGCAACCCAGTATCTGTCTGAATTGCAACTGAATCCCACAAAATGTGTGTTTGTGTTGAAAAATGGTAGGTGGTTTCACTCTAGCAGTTCAGTAGGTCTTGTTTTAACAAGTTTCTGATTTGCCTCACAGAAACTTCCAGATTTTGGATAGGTAGAATACTTACTGATTTCACTGTGTGATCTCACTTTGACCACATTCAAGACTAAACGAGGCAGTGAGGCTAAATTTCTGCTACTTGTGACATATCTACGTTTTCCAGTGGGACATTGAATGGGAGTTGTGTTGGGACAGTATTCTGACTCCTCTTGCAGGAAATGGTTAAAAAAGAATTTCTGCACATCTGAAAAACTAGTCAGAAGAGGAGTTTGTTGTTTTGTCTCGCCTGCCTGATTGTGGATTAGGCTTTGGGCTGTCTGCTTTAAATATCAGCAGAAATGAGTTCCCTTTATACAGGCAGAAGACAAAAAGTCTCTCTCTGCAAAAGCTGGGGAACTGATAGCAGCACTGCTTTACAGCTTGTGGGTATTCTCTTCATTTGTGTTCTAGCATGCAGAATTTAAATCAAAACTTGTCTTTTTAAGAAGCAGTACTATGTTGTTTATTAGCTATAATGTCAATGTATATTTGTTATATCAAGTTTTGTTAATGTATCAGTTAAGGTTGTTAAGATCATCTAGAGCAAGCTCTCAGTTTTGATTTTCTTTCTAGCAAATGCAGAATAACTGCTGTTATTGTGCTGAGGAGTGAGACTGAGATGCAAAGTAAAGTCTGGAAATGCCAAACGTTACAAATGCTGTTGTATTTTACAACAATTTCTTTTAATTATTAGAGATTTTTAATTGTTATGTTTATGCTTACTGCTGAGTGAAATTTTTGGAAGTTGGGCTCCTGGGCTGAGGGAACAGTGTTATTTGCTGGAAAATAGACACTTCCAGCAAAAGAAAGCCCATAATTAGGGCACATGCAGATATTGTCCTGCTGTAAGTCTGTTGGTATTACATAGAAATGCATTCTGTTGAGAACAGTGGAGAATGAGCCAGTTCATTCTGTACCACCTTTGGTGTGATCCCTGAAGGACTCAAATTTCCAGGGCTGCTGAAAGGCGACAGCACTGTAAACAGGCTGACTTTCTGTGATTAAAATTGTGTGGCTAACTGCACATAGGAATGTGTTCTCTACCACAGAAGTACATAAATCTATGGTGTGTGCAAACAGGTTTCATTCGGAGTTTTCTTACACATTTTGTAAAACGTTCATGTAAAGATGTGTTGGATTCTTGTGTCCAAGGGAACTGTTATTCTTTTTAATGTGTCTAAATGAAACCTCTGCCTTCAAAGATTTGAAGTTTGTAGTTTTCAGAGATGAATTATGACAGTAAATTCCTTATTCTAAGTTGCTTCTGCTACAGCTGGTATTTAAGTGCAAAAATATTGAAAAGTATTGCAAAACCAGTCTTTTTTCAAAGATTGCAAAGAAGGTGGGACTTCTTCAACAGTTCTGGTGCATTAATACATAATATAAGCCTTACTCCTCTTACCATATGTAGCCAGGTCCCCTTGTAAACTGAAAACTCCATGAATTAGAATATACCATTTCAAAATGAAGAGATCTGCTTGTGCTAGTGAAGCTACCAGAAACACATCCTTTCTCTAGATGAGGCTCTCTTCTACCTCCACAATCATGTGACTTTAGTAATGTATTGGCTTTAAACCTTAATGCAAATATGAAGGTTTTTCTGTCAGAGTCCTTCCTAATAGTTTGGTGCCTTGGAAGCAAATCTCAGTAAGTAGCAGTCCTGGAAGATGATTTAATTGCCCTGTCTCAGCATGAAGGAGCTACAGAAAAATAAACGCACCCTTGTTTAGTCTGAACTTTGCCTTGATTTTTTTTTCCTAAACATTCTTAGAGGAACTCTGCTCTCTACTTTCTTTTTTGCCTCCTTCCTAATCTCTAAAGATAACTCTCCCATGATTTATTTCTGTAAATGGCTGGTGGTTTTGGATCACAGTAACATAATGACTTGAGGGAAATCAGCAATTTCAGTGACTTAGATTTTCAACCCTTGCTAGAAAATAACTAGTAAAAATATTTTCATGGTAACTTTTCTGTAATTTCATTAAACTTAAACAGTATGTATGTGTGACTTTTAGAAAAAGACATTCAATAATATTCATGTTGGGTATCGTGCATTTTCTGTTGCACTTTACTCACTAAACTGTGCTTGATGCAGTTTCCTAACAGGTGTATAAGTGTGATACTTAATGATTTGGAGTTGTTGGAGTTGGGTAGTTTGTCTTTACTTATTTAAGAAAAAGTAACAAATCATGGTGAAATGTTCAACATGTGCATTGTTTTGTTAACACAGGAAAATTATGATTGTGTTGGATTGCATTTATAGCAATTTACATATCTTCTAAAACTGAATGGTGTTTCATGTGAGAAAGAGAAAAAAGCAATTCTGTGTCCTTATAAGATTCCCTTTTTCAAACATCCAAGGTCATTCTAAGCCAAACAGTGGAGCTGTGGCTGTGGCTTCACAGAGGGAGCTCCTGAGAACTCCTTGCTGAGCAGCCTAAATGGGGGGTTCTTGTCAACTCATCCTTTACAATGTTAGGATTTGATTAAGGTTCTGGAGTCTCTTTTGTATTTTGAATACAGTGCACACACTGTTTTTAATTTCAGTTGCATGTTGAGTATTTCCAAAGTTGAGAGATTCCCCAACTTCCCTGGCCAACTTGTTGCAGTTACACCACCCTCATTGTGGTGTAATAAAAATTTCTTGTGATTTCCTAAAAATAGTTATTTGTGTCTTTTTTCTGTCTTATATTTCAAAGAAGTAGTCTAACATAAATAAGAAATAATTACAGGCATGACCATCTTTATATTGTTTGAAATGTAAGCCAAAATATTTTTATTTGAAAATACTGCCTATTACAGTGCCTGCTTATTCTTAAGTATACTTTTATTCCTTTAAAACTTGCAAAATCTGTAAGATTTGTATGAAAAAGAACCTGTAAAAGAACCTAGTTTGAACCTGAAGTTCTTTTTCCTATTGTGTTTTCCATAGTTGTATGGGGTTTAGAAGGTTTTTTTAAAAAATAATGAACCTGTAAGGTTTACAATAGCCTTTTTAAATACATTCGCATTCATCTGTCCAGTGGAAGATACAAATAAAATAAGGGTACTCTTTTTTGTGAGCACCCCTTCTTGGAAGGCTTGTTTTTCTCTTCTCCCAAGTCTTTGGCTTTGGTAGGGTTCTATCTTTAAGAGCATTTTCCCACATCCTGAGGTTTATTTAAATTACTGTTCAAAATGTTCAGTGGTTTGATTTATTGAGACAAGTGGGATATGCAGATTAATTTGTTTTTACAGCATAATGTATGATTTACAGCATTTATTCAAGATTCATAGGAACACTTCTGGTAGAAGAATATAGTTTCTGTAAATCTGTGGAAAAGGCATGGGAGGTTTGCAGAATCCCTTAACCTCTTGAACTTTCCCATGTCATCCTATGAACTCTGAATCTATGGCACTGTTCGAATCAGGAAATGTTTAAAAATGAAAAGCCAAAACCCTAAGCTGCTAGATTTTGTATACAAAACATCTGTGGGTTTTGCAGTTTAACAGTCATCCTAATCCTGGTAACATAGGCTGGCTACTGTAAGCACTCACCAATTTATTTTAAAGTAGGATATGATTTCAGTAGTTTGTTTTCTTGTTATTTCAGCTTTATGACAAAATAAACACAAAATCTTCACCACAAATCAGGAATCCTCCAAGTGATGCTGTACAGAGAGCCAAAGAGGTAATGGCTTTAAAATATATCGTTTTTACTTTGAAAGTTTGATTGTATTTAAACTGGAACTTATTTTACTTCATTAAGATCTGCATTTTGGTTCATTATCTGTATTATTTTCTGGGATGCTATCATTGCTTACAACTGCAAGTTGTATAAACTTGCAGAATTCCATTATGTCTGTAAGGGTTATGAATATTACTCAGTTTAATCATTTAACCTTTGTTACAACAATAGCAGTGTTAAAAGAAACCCTTCTGTTGGGTAATTGCAGCATATTTAATGTTCAGTTTGTTCATCTGCAGCAGAAGTTTGATGTTTCTGTGGCTTAGTCACAGAAAAAAAAAGTATCAGCTTTGTAAATTGAAAGAACAAGTTTATTTTAGATAGGTCTAAGAAGAGCAGACCTAGAAGTGCAGTGAGGGTGGCCCACTAAAACCAAAGATATATAGGCACAGATGTTCCTAATTTTTTATACCTGGCAAATAGTATTTTATTTGTTCATTTATTGCAAGTATTAAAAAAAGAAGTTGTATTATGTATTACCAGTAAAAATTAGTATGGTCATTGGGGGCAATGTCATAGGAAAACACTGTTTATAGTGGTATCGAAACAGAATGAACAGGAAGACTTTATAACTATGTAATAACTGAATTCACACTGATAGATATCCTGAAATCCTGTTCTGCAAAACTTTCTGGCAGTTAATGCTGGGATGTGCTTCCAGAAGCAAAATAGTCTTTTCACATGCTTTTATTGTCCAAGCATGTGAAAATAAAGGTGTAAGAATCTGGTTGCAGGCGAAGGACTTAAAGCTCATTTACTCCCTACTCCTTCCCCAATGATAAGATGACGTATGGCTCAGCTTTTATAAAATCTGGAGCTTGGAGATGGGGTAGCAGATGGCCCACCTACACTTGGTGCCTTTTAACAATTAGTTTTATGAGTGTTTTTAATTCTGCTTTTAAACCGATTGTTTTAATAAATTGAGACCATGTACGAAAGTAACACCTGGTGGTGGTCATGTGTGTCACCTATTAGCACTTCATTTCTGTCTCCATATATTTAGCTGTTGGAGGAATACTGTCAATTGAAAAAAAAAAAAAAAAGAACAAATGTTTCCTTCAAATTTCTGCTTTAATCTATTTCAGAGAGAAAATTGGAATGAGGTATTTTATTCTCGCAGGGCAGGGGCACATTCTCCTAAGCCCTTTCCTGTCAAAAAATGTTGGTTTGTGTAAGCATTTTGGAGATACTCTGACTGAGCAGTGAGGGCTTTCGTCTGTTTAATAACTTTATTTAAAAGAAAGTTACTAGGGGCATTTCTCCTGCTTATCTTGCAGGTATTGGAAGAAATTTCATGTTACCCAGAGAACAATGATGCAAAGGAGCTAAAGCGTATTTTAACACAACCTCATTTCATGGTAAGCAAATTCTACTCTTGTTGGTTTGTTGGGTGGGGTTTTTTTGTTTTGGCTTGTTTTTTTATATTCTTTATGTTAAAAAACCTAAGTTCAGTACATTCTCCTTAAAATTTCTAAGTGATGAAACTGCATACAATATACCTGTTAATAAGTGTTTCTAATCTGCTGGTCTGGCAAAAGAATTACTATTGCTGCTACTGTTAGTCCTCATTACTGTGCTGAAAACTGTCAGTCGTTTGAAGTAATCTCATTATGGAGCAGTTTCACTGTCTTTTCACTGTCTTTTGGGGGAGCTGTGTTGCACATAGAAAGAAGAATGAATCCTTTTGGATATCCATAGGTAGAGCTGAGATCCTCCTTTTCCTTTTTCCCAAGGCCTTTTTAGAATAAAGTTGTGTGAATTCATTGCAAAATAAGTGGGTTTTTAATATTATTTTTTAATAAATCAATAGCTTGTACAGTCTGATGAGTTTGTGTTACTTATCAGCTTCTACTGTGTGCATTTCCCAAATCTGATTTGTGAGCAGTAGTTGTCCTAAGTTCAGGGATGTGGCTGCTTGATATCTTGGTTCAAGTTACTGAAGTCCAGTCTGGTGAAAATACTTGAGGGATTTCTTTTGTTTGTGCTGTAGATCAAGCTCATAAGTTCAGAAATAAATGTGTTTGCTTAAATCTGCTAGACACTCTTGTCAGTTTAAATCATGAACTTGACTTTCCCTAACACAAGGATTATATGCAGGGGGCTTTGTGGAGTTTGCTCACCTGAAAGCTGAATTACTGTAAGTCTGAAGGATAACCCTAATTTCCAGGAAAGAGTGAGCTGAAACCAACCTCCTACTCAGGTATCAGATGAAATCTGGATAGCTGCATGTCGCAGTGTGTTCTTTTGATGGCCACTGTAGCTTTGGGTGCTTTTATTTTAGTACTTTAAATTGGATCAGGAGTGTGTTTTTGAAGTGAATCTCCTGATTGGCCTGACAGTGCTTTGGCTTGTGTCACATAAGGGTCTCAGAGCGTGCAAACTGACTCTTTTCAGACAAAATTGCACTCAAAGATGTGTGCCAGGAGCCAGTGTAACCCAGCAGCTGATGGACATTCAGTCCACAGGGCAAGATGGAATAAGTAAAAACCCCTGCAATGTGTTCAGTACATCAGGTCCTCACTAATCCAGTTGTTTTACTTTTGGATTCACTCCTATTTCATTGCACTAATTGCTAATGCAGACATTGGTTATTCTGTGTGTACTCAGCAACACACTGACGTTATTCCCTGGAGATGGTATCTATCCTGAAGTTTGTAACAGCTCTGGTTCAACATTTAACAGGAATACTTGCTTGAAATAGAACATAAAACAAGATGGAATGGTACTCAGCTGCATTGTAAGAAAGATTAAAAAAAAACCTCACTGGTACTCAACTTCTTTATCTGGAATCTGACGGGTTCGTTTGATTTACCTTTTTTTTGTGTAATTACCACACTGTTGTAAAACCATTTGGCATTGTGGAGAAGGAGCATTTTTTAAGTATAAATTATTTTTGAGCGGGCATCAGTAAAAATGATTGTGGTATATTGAAATTTCATGTATCAAATCAAGTGACAGGAAAATGAGTTGAAAATCCTCTTTTATAGCTATCTCTGTTTCCTGATATCATAAATTTAAAACCATCTGTCAGAATTCTTTTGCTGCAATTGTATAAAAAGTGGGTTTTTATAAGGAATAAGCTGCAATTCCATAACAACTATTTTTGATGAGTAGTAATTTCAGCAAATTAGTCTATGGCATCCCAAGCTAAATTGCTAGTTTTTTGAAATCACATCATCCCTTCTTCCCATGTTTCATCCTCTCCCTTGCAGTTGTTCTGACATTCACCTGAAACTGCACTTCAGCATTGCACTGTGCTAAACTAGTAGAAAATTGCTCAAAAAAACCCCAATCCATTTAGCAAAAAGAATTTAGGATAACAGGACTACTGCCAGAGCCAGAATGGGCATAGGAACAGAAACAGTTTGGGTTAGGGAGGAGTGTAAAGTAGCAGTTAAACCAGCAAAAGTTGGTGTGGATCCACACCTGTAGAGTGCAGATACCGCAGAGTCTCCAGATGTCAAAGGAGCAACTCCATCCTCTCCCATCATTCCCACACCAGCTTCCAGATGCACCTTTGTGGGGGTTGCAGACCTTAACAAAGTTATGCTTGTGTTTGTTGTATTCTGCCAAATTTCCCTTCAGAGCCAAAGCCTTTAAAATAGAGACTGTAAAGAAAGGGAGTAATTGTACAAAACAATGTTGTCAGCCTACACTCCATGTGTTTGCCAGCAATTGCACAGGGCAATACTCTCATTATTAATGCACAGACACTGAAGCAATAAGGTGTAATAAGTAGGATCATGTGCATTAACACCTGTATGATAACAGACTATTTTACTGTTATTTATGTTATTATCTAATGTGTATCCCTATGAAGGAAAAGAGTGAAGTCTGTCTTGTTTACTTAGCCACAGTGTTAGTGGGTTAGACTGTACAGGCCTTTACAGAACCAAAGACAATAAAATATGTGTTTTAACTGAGATCTTTGAGTTCAAGGGGTTTTGTTGTTTTGGTTTTCTTTTACCCTCATGCATCTTATGGGTACAGGAATAAATTATTAATTTAATCTGTACATACTTAACAATTTAAAGAAGTGTATGTAAATTTTGTATAAAGGTCTTTCAGCAGCTAATTAATTTAAGAATTCTTTAAAATACTATCAAATACCTCATTTGTTAAGTATGCATTTCAAGGAGCTTTTATTCCATTACACAACTTCCAGTAGTTTTTCAAACATTCCAGTTTCATCTCTAAAAGATTCTATTATGTATGTTTGGTATGTTGCAGCAATTTAAGCATTCGCTGTTCTAGGAGACTTTTACTTAATTACATATTGAAGTTTTATCCATCATCATGTGCCTTCCTACACTCCTCTCTGCAGACAGTGATCCTGCAATATGGTAGAAAGTACTTGTTCTCATTAAACTTATTTTTAGCAAGATTATCATATTCTGCAAAGGAAAAAGACAGGAAATAAAGTCTAAATTATCAAAATTAACAGAAAACAAGTATCCTTAAGTAAAGTCAATAGCAATCTTTTGATTAAATGTTTCCTATATTTAAATTGAGCTTGCTGTACTTTAATGTCTGGTGTTTCTGAATTTGTGTTAATTTTTGTTAACACATTCAGAAGTCATCTAGTAAAATCAACCTTTAATAATGTTCAAAGTGCCCTATTTTAAGCTCCTACAAGGTGCATATTATTGCTGAAAATAGTATCAAGCAAAGCAAATGCTTGATGTGAAACAAATGTAAGGCCCTGAATTACATGAGAAATGTAATTCTAAAGCATGGAGAGTGTGACATTTACAGGGGCCATAGAATCACAGAATTGTTTAGGTTGGAACAGACCTCCGAGATCATCGAGTCTGAACTGCCAAGTCCACCACTAAACCATGTCCCTCAGCTCCACATCTACATGACTTTTAAATACGTCCAGGGATGGTGAAGTTGAGTAAGTAGCTTTGAGTAGGCTGAGCTGAAGGAATCACAGGAGATAATCCTACTCTGTTACAGAGCCAAGACCACACTCACTCCTACAATGGATGCTTTTTGTAACATCAGCTCTCGTCCTGTTTGGGACAACTGCAAACGGTTTTCAGATACTGGAATGAGAATTAAGCTAAATTCCTAAACCTTCATTGGAGTATTCACACATAAATTGACACCTAATTAAATAAGTCAAAATTTAAGTAAACCTTGCTAAAGTGGTTTAACTTATGTTAAGATGTTAATATAAAATGTTGCTTCAGTATTGCAGACCAGTGCAGAGGAATTGTTGCAAGCTTTAGCTTAGTGGTTTTCAAAATAAGATGAAAAATAGAAAGTGCAGATACAGGTTAGTATTTAACTAAAAATACTAATTGTGTAGGTGAGCTTGAAAGACTAGAAGAACAGGAGGGAATGTGGGCAGTGCGTTGTTAGTTTAGGGAATTCCATTCCATCGTTACAATGCTGAATTCCCAACTCTAGTGAAATTATCTTTTATAACATGGTACACTTCAGAAGTGCTACCTTGGGAACAAATTTAGGATTTTTTAGTGGCCATTAAAACCCCATTTCTGCTTTGGGTTCCACTTCTACATCTTCTAGGGATTTTTCTGTACTTTTTGCAGTGTAAGTTTTGCATAAACACTTTAACTGAAGACTGAGATGTTGCAGAGTCAGGGTTCTCTGCCAGAACAAATTCTAGATGGTCAATCTCAAGCCTTGCAAGACTGATGAGTTTTGCAAGCTGAGAGCTGTGAGCATTTAAATGAAAATTAAAAAGATGTTAACTATAATATAGATTGACCTAACAGCAGTGGTGGCTCGTACCTCTACTTTTATAGAGATATTGTAAGAACTAGACTGGATTTATCAATTCTCATCTGGGAAACCCATCCCTTTGGGTTTAAAAGCAGATCTGTTTCTGTCCTTGATTGGTGTAGAGGAGTAGAGCCAGCATGTTCACATATGAATTGGATTTAGTTTTTGGACAGAAGCAAGTTGTCTATAACATACTCATTATTAAGAGTTGAATGCAAATGTGAAACGGATGAAAGGTGTGGCTCTTGAAGGTATCCTGGAGAACAGTGGAATTTTCCATTAAAAAAGCCTGATCCTGTTGAATACTGGTTTGCTAATATTTATGCTTTGTCCAACTTTTATCTCATATTACTTGTTACCCTTTTTACAGTTATACAAGCTTCATGTCTTTGCCCCAGCTTGGAGTTCTTACACAGTTGGTTATTTTGGTTATCGAAGATATTTCAATACGTTTGATCAGTTATGTGTTGTATCATTCTTTGCATCAAGAAACAACAAAGCTAATGAAGTAGTATTTGAGCAGTTTGTTGGTTTACAATGCAGTTTTTGTCAAGCATTTTGAACTCAGTGTAGTGGTGCTGTGTCCCTGCTCTAGGGGTAGGGGAGAGTATAGAAGCGATTTTGCTAGTAAACAAAAAGACCAGTATTTCATTCTTTCAGTCAGTACTGATCCACACTCTGCCTTTATTAGAATGAAATGCCGTGGGATCTGAATACCTTTCCATTTTAATAGAATAATTGTTATAGAATAGTTTGCTCAGAAAGGTAAATTCCCAGTTCTGTGTTTGTGCATATAAAGATGGCTTCATTCTGGCACTTTGCAGCTGTTGAGAAGGTGAGGGAGAGGGAGGCAGCATCATTCTCATTGATGTGTCTGTGGTAAAAAATCATGTTAACTCATGCTGATTTTAAATGCTAGGTATGTCTGCCTGCATTTACAGTCTGATGAAGTTTATCTGAGACTCCTTCAAGGCAAAAGTTCCTATATAGAAAGCAAGGCACAAATATCTTGGATTTCCTTTAATTTCTGAAAAGCTTCAAAAATACTTAGAGGCAATGAGCGGGGGACATCGGAGGTGATGCAAGTCTGATGTTTCGTTGCTGTAATCTCCTCTAGGCCTTACTTCAAACTCATGATGTAGTGGCACATGAAGTTTACAGTGACGAAGCGCTGAGGGTCACCCCTCCTCCCACGTCTCCATACTTAAACGGGGATTCTCCAGAGAGCGCCAACGGCGACATGGATATGGAGAACGTAACGCGGGTTCGGCTGGTGCAGTTCCAGAAGAACACGGATGAACCAATGGTATGGATGGAACCTCAGTGTTTTTCTTGACTCTGTGCTGGTGAAGACCAGTATTACAATGATTTTGACGACAATTTCTGCACTTTGAAGCAGGGTTGCCAATAGACCGGAATAGTTCAGCAGCCGTTGTAGATAATTGTCCTCCTGTCTGTGTTCTTAATTTGAAATGCTCTGTCTGCATTCACACTGTACCACTAGAGCTGGTTTTGTTTAAGTCAGCCTCGCAGTAATTATAGCAAATGATGCTTTAAACCAAGCTGGACACTTCACACTTCAATGCAAACTCACGTCTTTAACAAACCAGAATCTTATATGCTTTTAAGTTAAAGTGTTGCATCTTCACTTATAAATAGTATCTGTTTTCACTGCCCATATTTGAATGACAAAGATTTTGTTTTAACCTCAAAATCTATACCCTGCCTTCAAGCTTTTAGGAAAAGTGACTGTTCTTAACCACTCAAGAATCACAGTGCTTAGTGGTTTATTTTTAAAAGTATAAACATTTCTTTTTTTTCCAGGGAATCACTTTAAAAATGAATGAGCTGAACCATTGCATCGTGGCAAGAATTATGCACGGAGGAATGATTCACCGGCAAGGTAAGCATGTCTCATGAACAGTTTTGTCTTCGAACACAGTAATTTTGTACAAACTGTGTAATGGTACATACTCCTCATTTTGATGGCTGCTATTCCATAGCAGTGCACCTCTGTATCTGGATGGACTCAGCTAACTGCTTTAGTTACCTTCCAGATGTCTGCCAGCGTTTTGAGGTCAGGGCCCACTGTGTTTCATTTAGGTCTTAATTAGGATAATTACTATACTATTACTGATTATAGCTCAGCAAGACAATGAAATGCCAATAATTTCTGGATGGAGCTGTGGTTATTTTATCTTCTGTTTAAAAAAATTCCCTAGACAAGTAACAATACTTTCCCTTGCAAAAATGAAAGATCTTTGTCCAATACAATTCTTGAGGACCTTTGTATTTTTTAAGTTGAGGCTTACAAAAATGTTTTTTTAAAATAAAAATATTACTTGTGCCTAGAACTTGACTCTTTATTTTCAGTTTTCACTGCTATAACAAACTGTGCAAACATGCATTTTTTTTCTCATCTCCAGTTTTCTCCTTTACTCTATTTTGTGTTTCCAGATCACATGTCAAAAATAACAGGGTTTTCTCCTACTTTAAACAGATGAACTTTCCTGCTGTGTAGCTAGCTGCAAGTTTGGATTGCACCCTTAAAAGAGTTACTTTAACTTTTTTGGACTGCCATCTTTTTCTTTTGATGAACACAAAATTTTTCATCATTTTTCAGCCCAAAGTTCCCTCTAGCCTACTACTTCTATTCCAGAGGAACCTAGGAGCAGGCAATTAGGAGGAGAAAACATTCACTTCAGCCCATTAATGTTGGTAAAAACTGTCAAGAAGCAGGAAAGAGAAAAGATTTCATACAAGCAAAGATGCAATTCAGATAGAGCTATATTTTTTAGAGGACCTTTTAAATCAAAATTTATTTGGCATCTAGAAGTGAGTTTTAAAAGGAGATTGCTTTAAGATTCCCGGGAAGAAGGTTTTCTTTCAGCTCTGCTTAGATAGTGGTGATGCTCTGCAGAGTATTGTTTCACATGGCTGTTCCATAATGAGGCTAATGAAACTTTTAAAACCTGTTAAAGCTGAGCAAAAAAATCCAACTGTGCCCATTAAAACTCTGTTCTTTCTCATTATGCAGTGTCTTTTATTTCTAAAGATTTTGGAAATACAACCTATTCTCTATATGCTTCATCTCACTAATGTAGCTCTTCTGTCCATAGGTCTAGTCTGAAAGTAAAGTATACTTCAGTATTGTCACTCATTATTTTTTAATGCTTCCAATTTTGTTAGTGTTCTAGATACCTCTTGGTTTCACTTCTTCATTCAACATACCTTTATTTAGAATATTTTTATTGAATAGGACAATGCAAATGTAATTTGACAGTGATCTCAAGCACCTTCTTTGAATACTGTTGATAAGGTCTGTGGCTCATATTGATTTTCGAGGGGTGTTATGTAATTTTTTTCTGCTGTCTGCTGTATAGAAAACTGCCAGACAATACCAGCAATGAGTGGATAATAAATCTACTGGGAGGGTTACAGGAACTGTGTAATTTCAGCAATATTAAGTACAAACTGCACAATTCCCAATCACAAAATAGCTGCTGTGAAGTAGCCTCCTATCTCTGTGGCAGCTGTATCTAATCCTGCTGATTATAATTGTTCTTATTCAAAAGGTGGGGGAGTTAAAGTGGGAAGAGAGGCTTTTAAAGATTCTATCTACTTCCACCTTCAGAGGATTCAGCTCAATGAAAATTAAAACACCAGTTTCAGTCATTAAAAATTGTCTTTTTATTGACTTGTCTGCTTTTTTAGGATAAGTAAATTAAATGTATCATAGATCTCAGGCTTAACTTTCACCTTGGAGTCTGTGCCTTAACTTTGCTGAGTTGTCCATTTACTTTTTACCTGTGAATTTTGTTTAGACTGCTCATACCATAAATATTGTTTTCAGGGGATCTGTATAGAGCCAAAACTCTCAGCAGGTTTCAGTACCTTAACCCGTGTGTTCTTTGCTGCTGACTGATTTTGGAGCTTATGTGCTTAAAAGTGAATTCATTCTTAAGATGCACTTGACAAGAGGTCCCAATATGGCATTTAAAAAGATTTCCAAAGAATAGAGAGGACCATTGGCTGCCCATTTAACCTCAACAGAAAAACAGCAGTTGTGCATTGTCTGTGCTACATTCTTAAAGTGATTTAATGTCAAATTGACACCGGTTTTTAAAATACAGTTACCCTTGATAAGGTTTATTCAATTCTAACAAAATCTCTGTGAAACTATGATTATATGTTCACAGCCCTTCATTTTCCAAGCTGCAGAATTTTCCTATGGCTACTAAATATGTTTCCAAATAGGGAATCCAAGATTTTGTTCCGTCTTCTTCCTAAAAGGGTGGGATTTCTCATACTTCTGTGCAGAGCAAGAGCACGCACTTCCTCAAACTGTCCTCACTCTCTCTTGCAAAGACAAAGGAGGAAATCATTTACTTTCAGAGATATATCTATTCTTTGCTATTACAGATGTATTATATACCACTAAGTCCTGAATAGCTTAAATTGTAAATAAACACTGCATTGCCAACAGAAAAGGAACCAAAACCAGCCAAAATCTGGTTAAGCAAAGGTACCATGGGAGTTACAAATGTTAGAGAAGGCTTGTTATTCACAGATGTCAAGAACACTTTTCCAACAACAATATTTTTAAAGAGTAGAATGTTTCAGCAAATGATAAACCTCTCTCCCCTCAGATTGAAAATGTCTTTCTCTGATTTATCAGAGCATCCACCCCCACAAAAGAGAATGACCATCTGCTGCTGATGTCCATGCTTTATTCCCAACTTTTATGTATGCTGTTCCTTTACAGTCATGAACATGACAATATTCACTTCTGTCAGAGTAGCAGAAATGGGGAATGCTCCAGAAGAGGGAATTTTATTTGCGTGCACTATTGCAATGATTTGATGCAGGGATATTACTGAATCTGATTCTCATTCTAATATTTAATTCTATCAGATTTATGTTTTGAATAATGTCAAAGAATCTTTATACTATTTCAGGCAGTATGGTCTTTCCAATTAGTATTATTGTTTAAGAACAATTACACTTATTTCAAACACAGTTAGATTTTGGCATGATGGAGTCAACACAGAGCCCCCTTTTTTTTTTTAGAATAATTTTTAAAGAATCAAGTAGTGAATGCTTTCCTCAGAAAGTCTGACAAAACTGAACTTTCAAAGTGTTTCACTAGAGATTTGATCATTAATATTCTAGATGTGAACTAGATTAATTTGAAATTCAGATGCAGGACTGTTGGATTCCCATTCAGTGAACTATTAACTGTGATAATTTTTCCACTGAAGAGAAAATTGGGACAAAAATTGTGATTAGACCTCTTTTATAATTTCACTATCAGCAGATCAGCCCCTGTTGAATTGTTCAGAGTATTTAATTTGGCTGAACAAGTTACTCTTTAGAGTACTGAAAGTTTTTGTAAACTCTGGGCTCTCTCCTGTAGCACTGCCAAGTGAGCTGCTGTTTCACAGAAGAGAGACCAGTGGGAATCAGAGCAACAGAGCTTTTCAGGATTCTTCTCCTTGGTTCAGGCTGTGCTTGTGTTTAGCAGGCACACAGTTCGATTTTCTTATGTTTGTACCAGCTGAAAGTTTTGCTTCCATCGTATTCTTTGGAAAAATAATTTTGGTTCAGAAAAAGAATTCTAAGGGGTTTTCAGGATTGTAGTTGATTGGCCTTTTTTTCAGGTAATTTTCTATAGCTGTGTTTTAGTTTAGGAAATGTTTGCCAGTTCCTTGTTTTCAGAGTAAGATTATTTATAATAGGTACAGTAATTGTATGAAGTACAGTATTTAGAAGAGTATAGTTGCACAAATTCTTTAAATCATACAGCAGAAAGGAAAATATGTGAAGTAAATGGTCTTGTCATGTTTCATTATGTATGGAAAACCTCTTCTGACTAATAATAAACCATGGAAGGGTTTTTGTGAGAACTACTAGAGAATTAGGTTGGTTTGAGCTACTTAAATCAGAAATTATCATTCAAAAAGCCTCCTAGGTTGCTTCTAATCCTGAAGATAATTCATTTGGTGCTTCTCCCTGTTGAGCTTTTGTGGTGCCTTAGAGCCATATAGTAGCATCTCATTCCCATTCCGGCTTCAGCAGGTCAGTTTATGACTTGCTTAAGCCAAGCAGGTGTTTATTTCATCATCTGACACCAATCATTTGTATTCAAGCTTAAGTCAAGTGCCCATACAGAAAATGCATGCTGTAACTATGGCAAATCAAAATCAGAGAAATGAAAAAATACAGAGGTCTGACAGATAAAATCAAGACTATGTGCAGAAGCCAAACTTCATTAAGTAGTCATCTGATAAAATATTGTTTGAATATCTCTGTTGAACATTTCCAGCTGACAAGTTGTTGGTGACCTTCTTTTTGATGTGTGGGATTTTGCAGTGTCCTTGTAAGGCTCTGACGTTTTACCCATGGACTTTATAGGGTGCCTGCACATCTCTTGTGGGTGTATTCACTGCACTCTGAAAGACAGATTTGTAATCTTTGGCACCTAATACAAAGTCCTTTTCTGAATCTAACCAAAAAGTTATTCTGATGTTGTTTTGTATTTATGCCTTTCTGTGAATATTAGAACTGTCTTACAGTTATCTCAAATTGTAAAAGCATGTTTGAGGTGATTTGTGTGTTTTGTTAACTCTGCAGGTACGCTACATGTAGGGGATGAAATCAGAGAAATAAATGGAATCAGTGTGGCAAATCAAACTGTAGAACAACTACAAAAAATGCTTGTAAGTGCCTGAAATATTTCTCACATTCTCTATAAAAGTGCCTGTCTTATTTAGACAAAACTTTTATGTAATTGTGTTCTGACTTCCCCTTTTTCTTTTGTTCTTGATAGACTGCATAGGCATGCAATGAAAGAGTTCATGTGTTCAGCTCTTAAAGCCTTCTACAGGCTCTCCCCTGTTTTCAGTAGTGGCTTTTTTGAACCTTCTACCCTGGGCTGGTTCAGGTGTAATTTTATTTATTCCATTTAGTCCCACAAAAAAGATCATTGACACCCAGCCATTCCTGACAGATGTATGTCTAGCCAGCTCTCAAAAAAACTTGACTAGTAGAGGTTGCCCAAACTCTCCAGGCAATTCACTTTCATGTGTAACTCTTATACATTTTACAAAGTTTTTCCCTAATATCTGAGTTTTGTTCATTGAAATGTAGGAGTTTCTTCTCTTGTCTCTTGTAGTCATAACAGCAAAACTACTGCTTTCCTCCTATTACTCATCCCAAGTTAGTCTATAAAGATCATAGAATCACAGAATAGTTTGGGTTGGAAGGGACCTTTAAAGGTCATGTAGCCCGACCTCCCTGCAATGAGCAGGGACATTCAGCTAGATCAGGTTTCTCAGTCATGCCCTTATTTTAATTGTTGAGTCTACACCCGGTGTGGTCACTGAGTAGACTATGAGAGGAAAGAAGCTTTTCTTGACTGTTGGTGTCGTTGCTACACAAATAGAGAGGCAATAAATCACAGAATCATTAAATACTGGAAGTAACCTCAGGAGGTCTCCAGTCCAGGCTCCTGCACAAAGCAGGGTCAACATTAAATACAGCCCAGGTTGCTCAGGGGCTTTGCCTGGTTAAGCCTGGGAAATATCCAAGGACAGACATTTGACAGGACAGGTGCTTCTTTGGGCAACCTGTTGCAGTGCTTAATTATCATCATAGGGAAAAATGTGTTCTTTACATGTAGCTGGAACCCCCCCTTCTTTCAGTTTATAACTACTGTGCTCATGGTTATTGGTGTTACAAAGGAAAAAAAAACAATATTTTGAGCTCAGACAGCCTGTCTTTTGCCAGGAAAACTCCATCTTGGCCCTTGCTGGTAGAGTCATTTTGATATTCTATAACACTTGTACATTTTTCTGCCTGCCACCTAACCTTGGGATCGTGGATGGTATCACTAATCCTTTTGTTGTGTTCCAGAGCTATATAGACAAGCTTAAAGGGAGTCCAGGCAAATAGCACTTTTTGGGGGTCACAGCAAGCCAGCCAAAGAGAGAAGGTGTTAAAACTCTGAAATTACTTGAAGTGATTTCTGCCCAGACCAAATCCTGCAGTTGTCAGCCATGTAGTGGCACTAATATTCAGATTGCTATTTAAGAAAATACATTGCCACAATCTACTGCCATTCTGCAGTTGCTACTTGTTGTGAATATTCTTATACTATAGTAAATGCAAACGAACAGACTCCGTGTTCTGTTTTGATGAAAGTCTATTTTTGACATTTCTACCTTTACTACTGTAACATGACGCTTTCCAGAAATTGTGAATACAGTTTTGCTGTTTAACATGTATGAAAGGGAAGAAAATGTCACTTTAGTAGCAGAGTGTCTGTGGATCACAGGGAATATAGCTACAAAGAAAAGACTGACATGGAAGAAACCTACACATCTCTGAATCTCGGTTCTAGGCATTGAAACCTGGTCAGGCAAGCAAACTGATAATGTATGTTTATCATTTAGATTAATGAGAGATGATTTAAATGTTTGTTTATAGGTGAAGTGGCAACTTAACCGTAGCATTTTAGCTTTTCTGAATATTTACTTTAGGAAAACACGCTGCTGTTCTCGAGCAGTGATGTTTTCCTTTCCAGCAACAGTGATTTGAAGATTTTCTCTTCAGTGTCTTACAAGTGCTTCTCTCTTTGCAGAGGGAAATGCGTGGAAGTATTACCTTTAAGATTGTGCCAAGTTATCGCACGCAATCTTCATCCTGTGAGGTAATGAATTTAATGAGCCATCCTGTTTCTCCCTCAGTCCTGTAACTAACTGCCTGCTGATGGCTGAATGTTACTGCTTTCTGGGAAATTGTTTCTGCCTGTCCTGTTAGATCACGCACACCAATTTTACAACAAAGATAACGGAACACGAGTAGGTCCCACCTACCTACTCAGCCCCGCCTTCATATTCATCTCATCAGCACCTTAACTAACTCTTTACAGCCTATTTAAAAAAAAAAAATAGGAAAGGGGATCCTCAACTCGTGCACTTAGGAAGCCCCTTTAAAAAAAATGATCATTTAAACTTGTTCTTCAGGAAGTCTGTTAAAGTTCCTAAGCTGAGGAACACTCCTCCTGGTTTTTAGGCTTTAAATATTATATTGCTGCTTTGGGCTGTTAAGGGTTAATTGAAGAACCCATTTCTGTATAACCCCCTTGAGGTAAATTTGTGGTGGTTGTGTGTAACAGTTACATGTGGCTTAATATTATGTTTCCATGAAAAGATGGTATATGTCATTACAGAAGGAAAAGAGATTTGGAGTTCGTTCTTGAAAGTTGGTGTTGTGGTTTTTGCACAGCAGTGTTTAATTCCCTTCTGCTCACGAAGTTATGTTCCAGATTGTAACTGAATGGAATTAAATTGTAGAAGATGGCTACTTGAGAGCCACTGTTCCAATTTAAGCATACAGATGGCATCTGCACTGTGTAGATGATGCCAGTCTCTCTGTGCCACATGTTTAACTGCGCAAACAGTTCCCAAATTAGAATTCCGAGAGTGAAATCACAACCCCTGTTGAAGTCAAGCACCTTATCTTAATTAGAGCTGTGATTTCACCCTAATTGTTTTTGTGTCTCAACAGATGCTAGAATACACAGAAACTGCTACTGTGGTTGTCAGAACAGTCTGTTTGCAAGAAAAAAAATTACTGCTTTTTGGTTGCCTTCTGTACTTCTAATCTGTACTTCTAATAGAATTCAACAAAAACTAAAAGGTTTTAGAGGTAGAAGGTTTGACAGATTTTCTCATGTGAGGCCAATTTTCTTAAAAGGTATAAATATGAAAGCAAAAGTTTTCCCTGAAATGCAAAGTCTTTAAAAGAAATTAAATAGAAATTCTACAGTGTGTTACAAATTTCTGTAGTGACTTCTGTGCTGTAAATAGAAGTAATAATAGAAGATATCTCACTTCCCAACATTGGAACAGAGATAGTAGTGAAACTGTAGACCTGCTGGGAAGATGATTATTTGGAAAAACACAGCATACAGCTTTAAATTAATACCATTAGGTGTCATTTTAATAATAGCAGATAATCTCTTTTCTTTAGCTTTGTGTCCTTAGGTTCTTCCTGACTATTTCACAGAAGAGTGGAAAACAGACTCTTACCTTTATTTGAAAAAAAACTAGAAGTGAAAAAAACCTAGCTAAACTAGAAGAGTGTGATCAAAGACAGGGGAAAAAAAAAGAAAAAAGGCATGTCTCATTGTGAGACTTTATGGCATTTAGCATTCATTTAATCGGAGGAGGCTGACTCTGTTCCCTCTGCTTTGCCACACTATGACTTTGGCTAGATTTTCAACTGCTAGAAGTGTACACAAAAAGCCACAATTTTTAAATCATCCTGCTAAAGAACCACTAAGCCTTTGGTATTTTTTTCACGGAATTTATCAGGATTGTGATTCAGATGACAAATCAGATTCTTAACCCTCAATAAAGGCTAATAATCGATGTTGAACAACATTACTAAGACACAGAAAGCTTGCTTATTGTGCCCTCTAGCAGGATAAATTGACAGATATTTGATCTTCACGAGTATAATCTTACTAGTTAAGTTTTTTTTTGGTAGCATTTCAGTATATATTAATGTTTAGTTCCCCTCTCCCCTCAGTCATGGACTGGTGCTCACGTGGTATAGTTTTGTCAGCAAAGGAATATAAAACAGAATGGAAACTAGGAGGGGTTGAGGCTCCTACCGTGATCGTGTCATTGGGTGGCAAAACATTTTTGGTAATCTAGAATAAGGAAAAACTAAATATTAGTAGAATCAGGGGTGATATGCCCTTTATTTGGAATCTGTCTTAGGCCCTTATATACAAAGGTGGGGAGATTGAGATGTTATTTTTTTGAATGAGATTTGAATTTCACTTGCAATATTTTTCTCCTTTTGTAGTCATTTAAAATTCAAATAAGTGTTTGTAGAGATGTTTTCTAACCATTAAGACAGTTCTACATATTTAGGGAAGTCTTTTCTCTGTGCTCTGTAGTGGTACTTCAGGGTTGCTAAACAGTTTTCAAAAATCTCAATGAATAATTTCAAGTTTCTTAGGCATTCGTGGCTTTTCCTGCTCCCATGCCTTCCATTCAGTTACCAGGCCTTCTATTTCGTGGAGTAGACTTTGCTTGGAAACATAATACTTTTGGATTCCCTTGTGTAAAAATTTGATCAGCTGATCTAGTGTGAGATGGCCTATTTAGTTTTTGGTGTGGCACATGACCTGAGTTAACACAGATACCTAAATAACACGGGGTCAGGATGTTGGCTTTTCTTCATCAGATACCCAGAAAGTTGCAGGCTTACGTAAACATAAACTTAAGTAACTATTGCAACATTCTTCCTATGGCTGATGGCTGCCTAAGCTGTTTGTATGTCTCAGTTTTATCCCACTGAGTAAGCATTTTGCTCTAGCTACACTTGCACTCTTACTTTCTACTGAGGAGATTCCCCAAGAAACTTTTTATAGTGTCAGATTTGTGAGAATGGTAAGGGAAGTACTTTTTTTTAAAAAAAAAAATTTCCTTATAAACATCCTTTATGTTTCAGCTTGTCTCTGTGAAACACTTAAGTTGCTTCATTAAGAAGAAAAGCTTTTACATATATGAGATTTTAAAAGTCTGGTGGTAATCACCATGGATTTATTTTTTTTTCAGTCTTACATAGTTTCCATTAGTACTCAAATTTTTATAGTCTTAAACCTTTTTTTATATTTTTATTAACAATACCGCCAGAAACATTGCTTTAGCAAGACTGAAATGTAGAAGTATTTTCAGATTTTTTTGAAAGTCTCTCTGGTTTTTGTGTGATTTTATTTGGGGGGGTTTTGTTGTAGATCTGACAACAATGTCATTGATCCAGCTGTTCCTGTCAGCATGTAATTTGATCAGGCCATATCTAGTAGACATAATTGACTTTTGCTATAGGTTTGCATCTCAAATACATTGATTTATCATTCATAATCAACACCCAAGAACGAGGAATCAACAGGAAACTGGTTTTGCCATCATTTGGAAATAATTGTGGTTGCTTCCTCTAAGGCTCCAACTGTGGTGCTTCAATGAATAGTGAGGATCCCAAAGACTTCTCTTTGTTCCTTGGCTTGGGGCCAGACAAGTACAAGTCTAGATAGTCAAGTTTACTGAAACATGATGATAACCTTTCCACACTACTCAGAATCACTGGATCCTCCCAGTGTTTTCCTGCTCCTATCCCCAGGAAAACTAGGGCTTTTACTGATTTAGTGGAGAAACAACTTCACAACCGAAGCTGAAGTTTTCCAGGCCAGTTCAAAGCATTCTGCAAGGATCTCTCTACTCATTGATTTGTCTCCTTAGACTGTGCATAATACAGTTTTTCTCCTTACCTTTGAGTCTGCTAGTCTTTGAAAGAAAATCTTAATTTCCTGATCCCTAGGAGATTAAGAATCTAAATGCCTTTGAATTGTGGCAGAACAGCCTAATTATGTAAAAACTGTACATATGTTTCTTGGGTAGATTAATTTCTGACAGTACTGAAATCAGTGGCACCGAAAATGTGTATTTTTCTCAGTATGTTATGGTCAACATTTGCTTTGGATAATATGCTGTCTTCTGTTGAGAACTGCTGAAGGAATACAAATCAAAACATTCTCAGACCAAGAAAATTTCCTTCAAAGGGAGAAACCTTCAAGACAGTCCAGAAATAGTGGCATTCTCTAAATTTGTTTTTCCTTAAATGACTTGGGTGTTTGCATAACTTTCCAAAGCTTTCCCTTGCTTCCTTGCTAAACCACCACTGACAGCAAATTGTAACAAACCATATTTTTTTTAAAAAAAGCTTAAATTAATTTTTCACCTCTTTTTTAAAGTGAGAAAATAGAAGAAACTAAATTGCAGAGTAAGCAGAAAATCTCTTTATAAAGCAAGAAAGTCACTGCTTTTTTGGAAAAAAGTATCTCCTAGCTACTCTGTTATAAAGGTGATGCTGATAATCCCATACACTCAAAAAAGGGAATAATGGTTCCTTTAGGCTTTTCCTTTTTTTATATTTTTTTCAGTAATGAATAGCTTGTTTGCTCTCTTTTGAGTATTTTAAACTTGTCATGCTGGAGTGATGTTTTAATTAGAATGAGGGCTGATTTCCCCCAGTTGCAAATAGTTACGGGAGGCAAATTTTGTTCTTGTGCCTGTAGCAGAAAGTGTACAGACCCACATACTTTGAACCACAATGATTTTACAGCCAGGTAATTGTCAGGTCTGTCCTCAGCTGTGTTCAAATCAAAGCAAGGATCTACACAGATACATATGGAACTTTCTGTTAAATCTTATCTAAGGAGTCCACAGAAAGGTGCAGAAGTTCTGCATGAGTTTGTTGCACATCACATGTACAGGCAGCAAGAGGGATAAAGTATTGCTTGTCATTTTAACTTTCCTTGATGCTTTAAAATAGCTATGAGTGCTATCACATAATTAGTATAAGTTTGAGAATATTAGTAGAGTAACTTTCCCTGATTAATGTTGCATGAACAGTTTAGCTCCAGGTCTGTTTTTTAGTTTGTTCACCAAGGGCACTTGTATTGAGAAAATGTGCCAGGGCTAACTTTGTTTGCTTTGAAAACTGTTTTAGCCCTTTTTGTGTGCTATCCCTGATGTTATGCAGAATGACCAGACATTCCTAAACCGACCTTTGACATGGAATATTATATTCTAAAATTCCTCTGAGGGTAGAATGGATTTTTATTTTTTTCACAATGTATGAGTGAATTATTTTATTTCTGGAAGAGATGGCTCTGACCTTGTGGGATTAAGTACTATACAGTCAAAATGGCATGTGAAAAAAATTGCTCTACAAGTTTCCTTTCCTTTGAAAAACACAGTCAGAAATTCCTGTTATCCTTCCTGTAGAATTTCCCAGTATGCACCCTGTGAATGCTGTCCCCTCACTGAAGTGTAGGAACACACTGGTAGTCTGAGTCAAGAGAAGTGGCTTTTTAAAGTGTTGTATTTTGTCAACGTTTAATGCTTTTAAGCCCATAAGAATGTTGGAAAAAATAATCAGTGTGATGTAAAGTGGATGAAAAGGGAAAAGAGAGGATCCAGCTTCCTTCCCAGGTGTTATTTTAGTGTCTTTGGGGCACTGCAGAGAAATGCGTTTTGCTTAGCAGAGACTGATCAACACTGACAACCACCTCACAGATGAAAAAATAGTTAGAAACATCTTTAAAATGGAATATGTGCCTCATTCTGTTCAAAGTATTATTCAGCATATAACTTTTAGATACTTATCTTTAACAAAGACTGGTGTATGACTAAGGGCCAGGAGAACTGTCAGCCACGTGAGATCTCAAAAGTCCCAGATGTCACTAATTAAAAAGCTGTTTGATTGCTAAGGCAACATGAAAATAGTTATTACCTCAGATACATCAAAATGTCAAACCTGAATCTATAAATTATGGAAAGTCTTTTCAGATTTACAGAGTTTGTAGGGTGGAAACTTTCACAAATGAAGCAGCTAAGAAAATGGTTATAAGGCTGTGGATGTAACTGTTCTTTGAAATATTTCTGTGTTCCTGTGATAGTGTTGTGTTGTTAATGAACCTTGTGTCTTATTTCAGAGAGATTCCCCCTCTACATCCAGACAGTCCCCAGCTAATGGTCATAGCAGCACTAACAATTCTGTTTCGGTAAGATTTCCAGTTCCACACAGAGAAACTGTGAAAGTTTTGTTGGTGCTCATCTGCCATTACTGTTATACTTATCGTGTGGTCAGTGGAAAATTTTGTCCTGATGGTAGAACTGAGGTTATTACATATGTAACTCCCCGTTTTCTTTTTTTTTTTTTTCCCAAGGGTTTTTTTCCAACATATTCTTCTCATTAAAAGCCATACAGTGAATTAAATGTCAATAACTGTACTGTGACACTTCAGTCATCCTTAAATCATTGTCAGCAACTTCCTCAAAACTAAGCAGAGGTTTAAAGTGGAAGTTTTATTTCCACCCTGATCTTGGGAAGCAGTGTTTGAAGAAAACATGACTGTGCAGTTGGTATCCCGAGACACTTTAGATTCCTTTTTTTTTTTTTTTTTGAGTTTTGTGTTTTGAGAGCCCTCTGGAACGTGTACTGGTTTCCGCTATCTGAGTTAAGGAATTGGTGTGCTCTCTGCTGTCGTGGTACGTGCACATACTGTGTGAAACATGAGCCTTGCCTGGATATGGAAAGCAAAAGGAAGTGGCTTTAAACTGCACTACAAACCAAGCTATTACCATCACATCTTTAACACAAAGTACTTCTGTTTTGTTTGTATTCAGGTAGAAAGGTGCTGTCGACCTCCTGGTTTTTTTTTTCTAAAGTATATCAGTGTTAAAATTCGTGTTGTTTACCATTTGTCATTGTTTGGACCAATGTAGTAACTACACACAAGTTCCTTCAGTGAGTGCTGTCAGTATCATGAGTTCACAGGACTAGCTAAAAACAAACAAACCAAAAAAACCCAAAACTAAGTAACTACTCCTTTAACTACTAAAAAAACCCCTACAACTTAGAAATTATTTGCCACAAGGTAAAGTGCTTGCTAATTAGTAGAATGAAAAATAATTGTGTGGATGAAAAATTTAAGAAATTTTTGTGAATTAAATTAAATTTGTAAAATGATTAGTAGTTATAATCTTAATTCTCAGCACAATTAATCACATTATACATTTTTAATAATAAGGTTTTTAATATTTATAATGGCCTCTTTCTCTTTTTAAAAGCAAGACTTAATAAGTATTAAGTGGAAAAGGCATTCACATAAAGAGCCTCTTTCACTTGGTGGTGCTTTTGTGTTGAAGATGCTGAATTATTTATTAAAAAGCACATTCTTTATCTGCTTAAACTTTTTACCTGCTTTCTTCAGCTTGCTGCTAAACAGCCTGGGTTTGATTTCTTAAAGAAAAAAAGTATTCCTAAACATGGGGCAATGCTTTATACTTTTGTCTAACTTACCATTTTACTGTTATGTAGTATAAATCACTAACAAATGGTGTTGTGTACCCTTAAAAAGTAAAATGAAAATTTCTTCTCCTGGGTTGACTTTATTCTGCAGGACTTGCCATCGACAACACAACCAAAAGGACGACAGGTGAATAGATAATCCTCCATAGGAATTTTTGTAAACTTAGTTGCTAGTAAACATCCCTGCTTATCATTTCCCCACTCATATTCTGTATGTGCTGAACTAAAACATTTAAGCTTAGAAAATTTGTTCCATTTTTTTCATTTTTCTTTTTAACTCATTTGTTCATGGCTAATTCAAAATAGCATTTTTTTTCATGTGTCCTTGTGTGTGAAAGTTACAAATTCATTGTAAATTTAACTGGGGATGTTGTTTTAGTTCAGAGTGCATTAATAGACTTACTGTTGTGCAGTGACCTGTGCAGGTTTTTATCTTGGAGGAAAGCTCAAATTTGTATTTTAACTGAAATGGGGACTAGTAGGACAAGTGTCTAATACTCTAAAACATGGTACTGACAAAGATGCTAAAGCTTGAGTTGGTCTATAATTATTAATATTATCCAAGCTCTTCAAAGAAAAACATCAAGGACAGTTTCTGTTAAAGTTCGATAAGTCTGAAGAATAGCTTCTTAAATTTTTAGACCTAAGACCCAGATTCAATAACCTCCCTCAACTTTGCTACCTTGACCTGATGGTGGTGCATCACAGACCAAAGATCTTCCCTCTCCAGAGAATTCCAAGAAAGCCCTTAGGGGCTCTGCAGAGGATTCCCTATCATTCTCTTCACAATTTTAAGATTTTTTTTTCTTACCGCAGCCTCCAAATGAACACATACTGTCAAGTGATTTGTGATTCATCTTCAGTAACTGCTCCAGTTATGTGTAGTCTTTCCAGAATCTACCTCTGAATCTCTGTGTACTCAGCCTCTTTCTCTACCAAGAATTTTGATAATAGCTCTTGCAATTCCATTCAAAAAGTCAATTAACGATGTTATCTCTTATCTTTGAAAACCTTTTTTATGCTGCTGTCTGGCTGAGATGGCTGGAATATCTGTTACAAGAATGGATTGCTCTCACTTCATTTCCCATTTTTAGAGTTTACAGCTATGTGATTCTTTCAACTTTCTGTTGTCTTCTGAAGTTTCCAGCTGTCTGAATATAGACCTGGAAGGGCTCCATGAAAGACATTCCGAGCTGTTGGGTTAGGTTTTTGTTTGCTTCTCGTAGGGTATTTTTCCCAGGAGAAGAGACTTTGTTCAAGGCAATATCAAAGCAATGGTTTTTCTCGTGCTCACACCATTTATAGTTACCTGATTCTTTTAAGAGTCTTCTCCCATTGAACCAGCATATTTTTCTGGCAGTTTGTCATCCTTGAGGACGCTAAGGGCTTGGATAGCAGATCGATTTTTATCTGCAAGGAAGTCTGTGATGTTCCATGAACTGCCACTGTATGGTGGATAAGGGCTCAAACTGGAGCAGGGACTGAAAAGCAAGGAAGCTTCAAGATGCTAAAAGCACTGCTGATGATTCTAGACCCTACATTAGATAAGGTTGAGGCAAAATAAAGGATTGGCTCAATATTGATTGCTTCGTGGAAAACAGGTTACTAAATAAACATGATTGGTTTCAAAATATCCTGTTTTTCAGGTAATTAAAAGAAATTGGGTCATTTGTCTAAACTCACACACTCAATGCACAGAGGAACAAGGGTCAGATTTAGGATATTAAAAGTCGAGTTCTATAGTGGTATTATCATCTGATGCTCTCACTGTAAACCAATAAAAATACATCAGATACAAGATAGACGTGATTAGCCATTTTAAGTTAATTTATTCATATGCTGGGTTGCAGATTGTATTACTATAGGACTTTTTTAAGTGCCATGAATAGTTCTAAAGCTGCATTTGGAGCAGCTATTTTTGGAGCTAAATTTGAGCGAAGTTGAAAAGTAATTGTTACAGGTTATACGAAGAGTATTACTTTGCAACATTGTAATTGTTGGAGGTTTTTAAATCTAGTCAGTTTTTAGTAAGAAAATCAGCAGTATGTGTATACAAAGCTGCCTGAAATTTTGTTGTGTGATGTTTGAAGTGAAAATTACCCGCTTAGGGCATGACATTTAATTTCGATTTTAAGATGCTTTGACTGCATCAAGGCTGTAATTAGCAACCAAAACTGGAGATCACTTTCATTTTTATTTTCTAGGGTTGAGACCTCACTAACACACAAAGAAAGGATTGGTATATTATTTTAAATTATGAAGTCAGAATCTGAATTCTTTCTGTTAATGTTCCTTAGAGAATAACTTGCTCAAATCATCGAGTTCATTTATAAAGGAGTAGACTTCTGCTGAAAAACCCATGCAGAGAATTCTCAGATTCCTCCCAAATAACTATAAGTGCAATATTAAATTCCTATTTAATATTTTTAAAATATATTTCTTTATGTCTTAAATCTTAAAAATTTTTAGCCTAAATACTAAAGATCAGTAACGTGGCCTAGGTCCTTTATACTGTCCAGTAAAATGTCCTGTCATACAAATTTTTAAAACATACAGTGGGACTTCAGTTGGAAAGTGCAGTTGTACAAGTTGTAAAGTGCTGACTTATAGTCTGTACTGCTTTGTGATAGTTGATATTGATTTGAGGGACTCTCTCAGTTCATTACCTTTTTGCTGTTCAGATTTTACAGTACGTAGAGGCCATGAGCTTTCAAAATAACATCAGATGTCTCCATGGTTTGCTGGGGGGGCTGTTCTGTTTCATTTCCAACTACCACTTATGCTTTTGCCATTCTGTTTCTTCCTTTGCTTGTTGCAACCAGTATGTGTAGCTGCATTCACTGATCAGATTATCACCTGTTACTCTTAATACCGTGCCAGTAATAATATTGCAGTGTCTCTTATAAACTCTTTTTTTCATAGATATATGTAAGAGCACAATTTGAATATGATCCAGCAAAGGATGACCTCATTCCTTGCAAAGAAGCTGGCATCAGATTCCGAGTTGGTGATATTATCCAAATCATTAGCAAAGACGATCATAACTGGTGGCAGGGTAAACTTGAGAACTCCAAAAATGGTACTGCAGGTCTTATTCCTTCTCCTGAACTTCAAGAATGGTATGACTTAAATTTTCTAGTAAAAAAATGAATTTAGCTTTGATTTTATTTCTGTCTTTCATGCTTTTCATTTTTGTGTGGCCAGTTTTTGAATTATTTTTTTCTTTTTTTAAAAAAAGTCTGTTGCCTCCGTTTGTGTGGTATTGATTTTTTTTGTATATGCATAGCAGTAGAGTTACCTGCAATATCATAGGTGTGGTTACATTAGAAAAATAAACACCTGTGTTAGAAAACATTGTGCTTTCTGGTATACTGTAGAACATTGTTTACATAAGGGGGTCAAATGAACTTCTCTTTCAGCTTCTAAACAGTGTTTTCATTAGTACTCCTTATATGCAAGTGCTGCAGGAATAAGGTTTTAGCAGGATGTCAAGCAGAAAGGTCATTGAGGGAGTTTGGGGATTTTCTTTCCTCTTCATTTTTCATGTGAAAGTCAAAAATCAGAACGAAATCACAGTGCAAAGGTCCCCGAATGGCCTATTCAGTGAACAGCAATGGCACTGAATGGCCACAAAAACAGTGCAGAGCCTTTAAACAACCTCTTGGAGAAGCTGTTCAGTAAAACTGTTAAAAGCATCAGCACAAATTCTGGCAAGCAAGTCCTGGGCCATGAAAGTTGTGTCCATAACTCAATAAAGTTTATCAATATGAATAATCTAGCCTGAAATTTCATGGCTAGGCTTCGCGAAGGAAGATTTGGGAAGGCTCTATCCACATTTGCTACAGGCACGCTGGTGGCTTAT